TTGTCCCTGGGTAGTCTGTTAGTAGTTGACCAGGTTTGCCTCATGTCTCTGGGCCTTGGTTTTCCTCATCTGTAGATAATGGATTAAGCCAGATGGTTCTGAGATTCCTTCCAGCACTGGAGGCTTAGCTCCCACTCCCCCATGATGAAAGGTTTCTCTGGGTTTTGTCATCCAGTAAGATTGAGAGGAGGCCACATTATGGACTCTGCCTGCTTGTGTTATCTGGAAGTTCTCTGTTTCTGCTGTTGCTCTGTCATCCTGCCCTTACCTCCCACCCGCTCACACATCGAGTGCTGCATTCTATTTCTAGAAGTAAGTGCTGAGGTTCATTTTCCATTTCCTCCTCCAGCGCTGATTTTATAGAAGAGCATCCACAGGATTTCTTGTATGTTTGAACTTGGGATATTTTGGCCTTCATTAAAAGATGACATTTCTCAATTCCTTTTCTTCCCTGTTCCTGGATCTGTCATTGTGCTAATTCAGTCGGTATTTCTAGGTTGCTCATTAGTGAGTTAATTAACTTATTTCAGCATGTGAGTTTTGACATTTTTGTGTGAACTGCCATCTCCTTTTCCATAGCAGGCACCCCTTACTCCCCAGTGAAGACACATTTTACCTAAATTCTCTGTTTTTTATTTTGGAACCTAATGAAACAAGTTTGACTTTGATTTGCTGTGTTCTAAGGCTCTGGTTCTGGCCAACCTCAGTTTCAGGTTTATTATGGTGATTAGCAGCTTAGATCTCTGGGAGAGTTCTGTTTCAATGTTCTGAATCCCAGCATGCCCCGGGATACCTTCCCATGGGTGTGGACTTCTTTAAAAATGATGCCAGGGCTGGGTGTAGTGGCTCACGCCTGTTTTCCTAGCCCTCTGGGAGGCCAAGGTGGGTGGATTGCTTGAGCTCTGGAGTTCAAGATCAGCCTGAGCAATAACGAGACTCCTTCTCCACTAAAAAAAAAAAAACACTGAACAGGAGATGTGGTAGGCGCCTATAGTAGCATCCCAGCTACGCAAAAGCTGAGCTTGGGCGGTGCCTATGGCTCAGTGAGTAGGGCGTTAGCCCCATATACCAAGGGTGGCAGGTTCAAACCCGGTCCCGGCCAAACTGCAATAAAAAAAATAACCGGGTATTGTGGCGGGCACCTGTAGTCCCAGCTACTTGGGAGACTGACACAAGAGAATCGCCTAAGCCCAAAAGCTGGAGGTTGCTGTGAGCTGTGATGCCTCATCACTCTACTGAAGGTGACAAAGTGAGACTCTGTCTCAAAAAAAAAAAAAGCTGAGACAAGAGGATTGCTTGAGCCTTAGGGTTTGAGGTTGCTGTGAGCTATGATGATGCCATGGCACTCTAGCCCGGGCAACAGAGACTGTCTGGAAAAAAAAAAAAAGGCCAGTTCTTAGTCTGGCTTCCGTGGGGTTCCCTAGTTTGGTTCTCCTGAAATCCAAATTGAAGCCATTCTTCTGTGAAATGCCATTGACTTTGAGGGATTCTTCTTGAAGTCCTACTCTTAAGGCATCTGAGCTTGGTTTCTTATGAATAGCTAAAATTGTTATAATTACCTTGAAAGCTAACCCAGGTTACCTTCTCAGAAGTCTCTTCCCTGAGTTAGTCATCTTCCTGTTTGGGAGTGCTGATCATGGTGAACTCATAATGTTTTTTCATGGATGGTAGCTCAATGAAAATGACTCATTACCATGAAAAAAAAGAAAGAAAGAAGGAAAACCAAACTTCTCTTTGTTCTTCAGCTGTCCATATGCTTGATGTACAAGTTGAAACAAGATTGTTGCTTGGTAGCTGCCCGTACAAATTCAAGCCAATATTAGGAAAATGACAGTTAGCTTCTCTGGTTTTAGTGTGGGTCTTGGAGTTTGCCAGGCACTTGTATTGCTAATACATATAACAGAAAGGAGTTCAGCTCAAGATCCACAAAAATGGGGATCCATGAGGTTATGACTGCACAGAAGTATCTCCACTGAATAGTGAGAGCAAAGACAGAAAGGTAGTTTTTATAGTGATTTTGCACACTTGTAAAGGTTTTTTTTTTTGAGACCAAGTCTCAATCTGTCACTCCGGGTAGAGTGCTCTGGCATCATTATAGCTCACAGCAACCTCAAACTCCTGGGTTCAGGCAATCCTGTTGCCCTAGCCTGCGCCTAGCCTGTTGCCCGAGTAGCTGGGACTGCAGGCATGCAGCACCATGCCTGGGTAGTTTTCTGTTTTTAGTAGAAATAGGTATCTCAATCTTACTTGGGCTGGTCTCGAACTCCCAAGCTCAAGCAGTCTACCAAGGTCCCACCTTTCAGTGCCTGGCCACTTATAAAGATTTCTAAAGTTGAAGAAGTGATTTCTTCTGTTTTCCTCCTGTGAAATTGTGTTTTTTAAATACTCAGTTGGTTAAGATGCAGTAGTTCTTCACCTTGGCCTTTCTGATTATTTCTTCCGTAGGATTATAAAAAGTGATTCTTGGGTGGCGCCTATGGCTCAAAGGAGTAGGGCGCCGGCCCCATATGCTGGAGGTGGTGGTTCAAGCCCAGCCCTGGCCAAAAAACTGCAAGAAAAAAAATTTTTTTTAAATGATTCTTAAGGTAATTCATATGTAGGGACCAGATAATTTATTTCAAAAACGAGGTGAATAAGGACTTTATAAATTGTATCCTACAGTAGGACACTGCTTTGTCTCCTAACATCAACCAGTTTTCAAATCCTGTACATAATCCTGAGACTGAAGTGAGAATATTTGGAATAAGAAAACCACAGAGCTGTCAGGTTGTAATTGGACCTATATGTCATGACAAAATTGAGTTATTAAGAGGAAAAAGTTAACTTAAGCCCATACCTAATGACTTTATGGTTCCTGTTCTTTGTTATGGCCTTGGGGGTTTTGCTGGGCATCTGGTTTTAAAGAGTTCACCATATTTCCCCTTTAAAGATTCTCAGTCTTTCCCCCATGTTATACCTTCTGTGTCTCACTGATATCATACCTAGAAGGTGCACTTGTGTCCAGACTTCATGATCTTATGCTTGGACTGAAGGAACCTCCAGCCTTTCCTGGATCTCCCTGACTTCATAGTCTTTCTGCATCAGGGGCCATTAAGAGGCCTGGCCAGATGTGGGCTGTGGGAAGTAAAGAGTGGATGCCTAGGGAAAAGTTGGGCTTGATACCTTCCAAGTAAGAAGCTGCTATCACTGTAAGCGCTTTCGAGCAAGGGAGGGGCACATGGAAAGCTATTTTCACAGAGGTAAGTCTCACAGCCATATGGAGTTAGGATGATGCAAAAAAATAGTAAAGCCAGGGAAATAAAGTCTGGAGGTAACTTTAGTCCAAGGGTAAGGTCATGAAGTCTGATGCAAGCGTTACTATCAGGAATAGGAGAGGTAAATCTGAAGATGTTCTCTAAAAGGAAATGGTAGCACATAGTACCACTTACTAGGAGATCATACATATAATGTTCATGATAACCCCAGAGCATTTTGAAACACTGAAGTCTTTCTGAATTATAAGTGATATTTCCCCTAATGTTGATAGAAAGTATATTTTATATTGTTTTGATTTTGGGGGAATTGGTTATCTAAACTATACAGTTAAAATTATGGCCTGTGCTTAGCTAATCCTGCAGATTGAGCTTCATTGTACTCTCAGGTAGGATGCCTAATTTTCTTTTTTTTTTTAATAGTAGCCCTATCATGGCCTGGACTCCTAATTTTGACTTATTAATGTGTTTTAATGTGGCTAAGAAACTGTTTTTTTTGGGGGGGTTGTTTTTTTTAAGAGACAGAGTCTTACTTAATCACCCTTGGTAGAGTGCTGTGGCATCACAGCTCACAGCAACCTCCAGCTCCTGGTCTTAAGCTATTCTGTTGCCTCAGCCTCCCAAGTGGCTGGGACTACAGGCACCCGCCACAATGCCTGGCTATTTTTGTTGTTGTTGTTGCATTTTGGCCGGGGCCGGGTTTGAACCTGCCTCCCTCGGTATATGGGGCCGACACTCTACCCACTGAGCCATAGGCACTGCTCTAAGAAACTGTTTTTGCTGCCTCTATTGACTGCCTCATATAGATAGAGGGAAAGCAGCATAGGGAAGTCCCCCTTACCATGTTCACATGCATGTAATTGCTCCCTAGCAGGAGTAGCTGGGTGTTATTGTTGGGTTTTTGTTTTGTGCCCCACTCCCCACCAAGATTCCTAGTGCTGGCCAGAGGTTGTCCTCAATCCTGCACGCCTGATATAGTAGGCACTTCTCAGTGTCGACAATTTTGAACATAGATCGCAACAATGTTTTTTGGTGGTTTTTGTTTTTGTTTTTTTTAAATGAAGTCTCACTTTATCACCCAGGCTGGACTTGAATTCCTGGGCTTATATAAACCTTCTGCCCAGCCTCTCAAGTAGCTGGGACTAGGCCACTGCACTTGGTTCCACAGCAATGTTACATTGCATTTTTCCTCATTTGTTTCCCTCTTTTCCCCCCTCCCCTACAGTCCTGTGCTTTATTTTATTTATTTATTTATTTTTTAGTCTTGTGCTTTAGATCAGCTGGGGAAACTCATATAACCTAATGGATTTGGGGGATTGGGGAGGGAAGGGTAAAACACTATAAAAAGACTGCTACTGCCTTTTGGCTGTCATCCTTTTAAATTCCGAGCACCAAGGTGGTCTGAAAGCCCTGTAAATAATTATCATTTGCCTTTGGTACCATCACCCTGACAATCTGAAGAAAATAATCACACAAAATAAAAGCAAGAACGGAAAAGCCTCTTTTCAAACAACTAGGACATTCCTTGCCCAGGGCTCCTTTCCTGAAAGGAGGTGGGAATAGGGAGGACAGCTCATGCCTTCCAAATGCCCCCCTCTGGGACCTGGGTTCTCCAGGCTGCTTCTGAAGCCAGCAGGCTTGATTCAGGAAGGTCTGGCTTCACAGAAAGCTCTTTGTCAGTGTAGCTCAAATCAGATGATTTTTTTTTTTTTTAAAAAACCCTGCATTAGTATTTACTTTGTCTTACAGTGGTTTGAATCTAGCCAATGACACTGGAGCCAAAAAGAAGAAAAAGAAACAAAAAAAGAAGAAAGAAAAAAGCAACGAGACAGATTCAGCCCAAGATCAGCCTATGAAGGTAACAGAGAGCCTCTGTTTTCTTGTGAGCGAGAGTCACTTTTTCAGATGAGAGAATTTGGAGGTAAATGTATAGAACAACTTAGATTGACATTCTCCACTGGTATTCAAGATGAAAGACTTGGATCCCAAAGCTGTCCTCTGCTGCCCTAGACCTAGGTGATAAAACTGCTCTCAGTGTCTTAAAAGACAGAGCAGCGTAGACACTGACTTCCAATCACGGTGCCTGCCGGAATGGACAGGTGCATATTATAGGTGCTGCTGTGCCAGGCACCCTGGAAGAGTTATGTGTGACAGCCCTGGTACCTAGAGCAGTGGTTCTCGGCCTTTTCTGTCTTAAGGCTTCTGCTTCTGAAGGCAGACCTTTATATATTTGCAAGCATTCTCTTAATTCTGTAGTTGCTGTAATGAAAACTGTGAGTCCCACAGAGCCTATTTCTGAGTTCCACTTGTTGAGAACCACTGGCCTAGAGCTTCCAACCCAAGACTGACCCATTGGCATGAAATCCACAGGTATGAGTAAAGATTGTATTGTTTCTTTCTTTTTTTCTTTGAGACAGAGTCTTACTTTGTCACCCTTGGTAGAGTGCCATGGTATCATATCTCACAGCAACTTTAAACTCTTGGGTTCAAGCAATTCTTTTGCCTCAGCCTCCCAAGTAGCTAGGACTACAGGCACCTGCCACACACTTGGCTATTTTTAGAGAAGAGGTCTTTCTCTGGCTTAGGCTGGTCTTGAACCGGTGAGCTCAGGCAATCCACCAGTCTTTGCCTCCCAAGTGCTAGGATTATAGGCGTGAGCCACATCGCCCAGCCTGATTATTTTTTCTTAAATAAAACAACATTGCAAAAGAAAACCTGTTATTTCAGGTAAGTGTTGTGATCTTCAATGTAGGCCTGGGCTGGAGTCCAGCTCAAAACGTATTCATAATTCTCCCTTAGAAATGTCTCCAAAATAAGTTTATAAACCTCTCAGGAAATCAGTTTACGCGCACTTTTTTTTTTTTTTTGAGATAGAGTCTCATTATGTTGCTCTTGGTAGAGTGCTACCGTGGTGTCACAGCTCACAGCAACCTCTCTTGGGCTTAAGCGATTCTCTTGCCTCAGCCTCCCAACTAGCTGGGACTACAGGCACCCGCCACAACACCTGTCTATTTTTTGTTGCAGTTGTAATTGTTTAGCTGGCCCAGGCTGGGTTCAAACCCACCAACCTCCATGTACATGGCCAGTACCCTACCCACTGAGCTACAGGCGACGCCTACTCACACTTTTCTTTATGCCTCAAATGTTATGTTTCT